CCCCAAAACCCCAAAACCCCTTAAAATTGAATTAAACAAATTAGAATTCTATAAATTAAAAATAAATAAAATCTATAATACAAAATAAAATGGAATTGACAAATAGCAAAACATTTTTGACCAATATCTACGACTCACTGCTGCAACTCATTTAAAATCAAAAGAAAAGAGTGAAAGCATTAATCAACTTAAGTGCTTTTGACTAATCCAACATTGTCATGAAGCAGTGGGTCACAAAAGACTTTGCTGATATCATTATCTAAATGGTGTAGTCGATTGGGTATGATCCACTCAAGAATATTTTAGATATCAACGCATAATTTGCACAAGAGTATGCTGAACCATTAATTGAAGTTTACTTTAAGCAGAGTTAAAAAATGCAGACACTTGATCTCACTCAGCATAACTTCAACATATAGATGCTGTCAAATTACTCAGAGACAGCAGAAAATATCCAATTCGACAGAATTATTAAAGTTAATGATTATATAATTACTGCTGAATTCAGAGATGGTTAAGAATGTAGATTGCTTGACAGAGATTTGAATTTAATTTAAAAATTAGATTTAAAAGCAGAAAGATTGCTTTAAATAAATAATGAGATACTTTCTTACTGCAATAACAAAATAAGCATTATCTCTGGACTGAAAGAGAATGACATTAAAATATAAAAAGATGTTTACAAGACAAATCATTTTCCACATTAAATGGTTTAGATCAATGATGACATATTCATGACAGGGTAATTAGATGGATCAATCTAATTATTCAGTCTAAGCAAACCATCATTCTCACAAACATTCAGAATCAATTAATTTACTTGTGTATATGATATTTGCTTGATTGCTCAGAAATAAAATGAAAATACTTATGCTGTTGGTGATAATGTTAATGGAATAGCAATAATTAAAATAATTAAGAAGAGAGACTTTGCTTTTGAATTAATTGAAGACCCACAAAGATTAATTGATAAAGGAGATATTGATTCAATTATATTAATAAACTAAAATACTCTTGCTTTTACTTGTGAAATTGATGGCAATCATTACTTAAAGATATATAACATTGAGTTAAAGAATTAGATTAACAGTATTAAATTATAATCTTGGTCATATCTCTATGGGATAGATGGGTATGACTACGATTTGAATCCATTTGCTTTTATCAAAGAACTCAATTAAGTCTCAGTAATTAATTTTAGAAATTACCAAATAGTCAAAGTTGTTGATTCAGAGTTTAGTCATCGTTTAAATAAAAGTCAATGCTTGGTGAGCATGAAACTGAATGATGAAACTGGGAACAAGTACAAGCTCTACGATGTGCAGGTTACAAAGTAAGATAGTTAATATGTATCCAAGCTAAGAGAAATTATCATCCAAATACCTTGAAGCCATTATTTTTTCATATTAATTTCTATTCAATTTATATTTTAAATAATATTTAGCAATTAGTATGTAATTGTTTCTATTCGGGGTTTTGGGGTTTTGGGG